TTGTTCAAGAGATGTTGTTTCTTACTTAGTATTTCCAATTTATCAATAAGAGATGTTTCTTTGTAATTCAAATTTATCAATAAGCTTATCAAATTTTAGATTGAATACAGGTAGGATAACAAGCACACTGGCATTTTTTAAGCCGAGTATGCTTACATATGGAAGGAAAGCGCTAAACTATAGGATAGTTGAGTTCCTTGGCATTTTCATAGCCAAGTATGCTTAGTAATGTAAAAGGAACACACTGCGTTATAGGGTAGTTCAAGAAATTTCTTTAAACCTCGATGCTGCTTAAGCAACCGGGTAGGACGGTTTCATTGCAAGGCCACAGAGACCTCCTGAGACTCCAGCATCCCTCTGAATCCTTATGTAGCCACTCTCTCCCCAAGTTTCTCCCCATGAATTCCTGATCAACCAGTACTTGGTGCCATCTTCAGTAGTCCCATACCCAACAATTGTAACAGCATGGTCTAGCTTATTGCCACATTCTCCAGCAGTCAAAACACCACTCTCATAGTTCTTGAAATAATACCCACTGGCTTCTAAGGCAATAGAGACAGGCTGCGTGCTTACAGCCTTTAATAATGCCTCTTCATCATTGGGAGTTACTTCTTCGAAACCACTGATACTGGCAGCTGCTGTGGCACTCTCCGCTTGACAGGTTCCATCCATTTCCTCGTAAGGATAACTCTCCTCACTAGCTATTCCTTGGTTATCCCCGATGTACTCAAAAGCAGTAGTCATCCAACCGCCTTTGCAGCCGTGGTTGTCTTCAACACAGTCAACCAGCTGCTGCTCGGACAAAGAAGGCAGTTGACCACTCTTTATCTTTGTGATCCCTTCTACAGCTGCCACAGCTGAAAATGCCCAGCAGCATCCTACGCCAGTTAAAGAATTCTGGTTAGTAAATGTTGATGTAAAGAGTAAGGTACAGAATTCATTATTCAGTTTAGATTCTTACCACATTGACCCTGGTCCTTGATGCTGTTAACAGCTCCTTCCTTAGTCCAGTCCTTGCTCGATGGA